AGTATGGCTTCCTCTCATATTTTGGCATTTGGTGGCGCACTTTCGGCGAGAGTCGGAAATCCGGAAACAGTCGACCGTTTCAGGATAGGTGGGCGTGGCTACAGCACGAGATATATCTTAAATTTACTTGGATAGGAGTAACCATTTTGACAAAAAAAATCAATAACTGCCCACTTCAGTAGGACACGGATCTAAAATAGTTAACGTGAGAGTGGGCATTGCACAGGCACTTTAAGTTTGAATTCATTTTTAATGTGTCTCCTATACTCTCAGCACACAGGAGTTCTTTCTAAGCTTTCTTTAGGTTTAGGAGTAGACACCCCACATCACATAAAATAAATACATATTTATAGCAATGTTGGCAACGATAAGAATGTTCAGACAAGACACCGCAAACCAACAAATGCACATGCTTCCACCCCCCCCCCCGCCCATGATTTATAATGTTTGACCCTTTGAGATTTTTGGGCCAATGCAGTTATTAAAATTGTAGTAAACACATTTAATAGAAAAATATACCAAACAACCCAAACAATAGATCTTATTTTGAAAATATTATGTGCCAACATGTTTGTCCTGCAACACCTTGCATGCATCATGATGTTCTTAAACAAATCCCCCAGCCATCATCATGATTTTAAATGGGTGACCCTTAAATGCACGTACACTAATTACGTGGAAATGTTCATGATTAGTTCATTTTACAATTCATAATTTTCAGATTGGTTCAAAGCTTTCTCATTGGTTCAAACTGTAAATTATCACCTTACCGATCTGTTCAAACTAAAATTAATTATTTTATAAAACCTCACTGCTATAGATTTAAAATCAACAAAATACATAAGTACATAAATAAAAATAATTATGCAACAAAACATGTAACAATTTAAATTAATTGAAATAATATAAATGAGTTTAAAAAGTTGTATATTTTAAGGTAAAACAGTAATTGTGTCTCATGTTGCGTCGGAAACATTCTTGTAGTAAAGCCCTAAAGGTGTAAGTTTCCCCAATAACCAGAGCGCCGCCTACGTTCAAAAAATCTGACAGTATGCAAATACAGTTACCGTAGTGATAATAAACACGGCTTGGCCGCTCGACAACTACTTAAAAGTCGTGCTTATTACGCTACGAGAATGTATTTCCTGCGTCTTCGTAATATTGACTAATTAGTGATAGATCAAAGCTTTGTTGTGTTTTAAGGGAATATCGCCATTGTTTCATGCATCTGTGTGGTCAGTTTGTACGTTGAAAAGCCGAGGATTGCTTCAGATACTGTCCAGTGGTTCGTTCCATCCGCGGTGAAGCGGTTTTAAATTTCCGTGAGTAAGAACAAAATGGCGGCGAAAATGTCGTTCAACTATTACCAGCACGGTAAATACGGCACCCTGCCTCAAAACGGACAGGCAAACATGGATGTGACGCCGGACCTCCACCTTAAAATGTCAAAGAAGATCGCCCAGTTAACTAAGGTAAGGTTATAGTTGATATTGTGAATAGATCGATTCCAGTCTATGTGAGCTGTATACGGCACTCGCCGAGTATCAAAATACAGATCGGCCGTGTTGTTGACAAGCACTTTAAAATCACCTGTGAACAGTTGTCGCCAGTATAACATATAAGTTAGTGGTATCGCTATGACGTGACTTGAAAATATGCGTATTACTGACATAATATATATGGATACTTCAAAATATCATTCTTGAATGTTAAAATAATGATTGATCAATGACTATGAGTCGCCCGGTATGTAAACATTCGTGTCGTGTCCAACATTGCGATAGTCGATGTCATGTAATTGTAACGTCACCGCAAACTGTTATGTTTTATGTTGAGCTCTTTATCTCATATTTTATAAAAACGCATGTCGATTATTTTATGTTTATCAATATTAATATGAGTATTATTAATAATATTATTGTGAGTAATAATTAAAAAACGTTAAACTTTTACAATACACTTTTAGCCTCAGTTCGAGGAAATAAAGTATATTTTAGTCTTCATGGTTTTGAAGGTTTCAAAATTTGATTGTAGACATAAGCTAACATTATTTTGCTTTTATCACAGTTGAAACTGTTTGTTTGTGACATACAACACTGTATACTTAAACATATACAACCACCTAATTTCCGCTGCTAGGAGTTTTTGCGATTTGATAGTTTCACAAAACAAAAAGTTCTGTCTGATCACAAAGACGTTTTCACTGACTCACGAAAATTTGTCTCTTGTGAACTAAAGCGGTGTACAGTAGATGGAACACATGCCAAAAAAGCTATGTACAATCACATGTTAGTTTTAGCGATGGAAAGCTACGAAATGGGTACATGCAATAGGATTTCAAATACCTCTTGAAACAAATTAAAATTACTAAATTATGTATACAAGTACAATAAATCCTATATGTATACAAGGTAACACTCATATATGATAGGTTCCTGTATATATCCTGCAGTGCTTATTTATATTTTTACTTGCAGGTGATTTATGCTTTGAACACAAAAAATGATGAACATGAACAGGTACTGCAAAGTATGAAAGAACACCACGAAGAGGACATGCAACAATTGATGGTGGAAGCTAAGGACAAAATAGCCATGTATAAAAGTAAAATTAACAATGACACTGATCAAAAGAGACGAATGGAAACATTGGAGGACAGTATCAGTGAATATGAGCGTCAACGGAGGCAGGCGTTAGGGGAATTTAATGACTATAAGCGGAGAGCTGAGGATAGAGAGATGCATTTAAAAATTGAACATTCACAGAAAATACTAAATTTATCAAAAGAGCTTTTACAGGTGAAGAAAGATTTTGAAGCCAAGTTGAATTATTTTCAAGAAATGCAAGTGAAATTCAACAGTGACAAAAATGCGGCGTTGGATGACTTGAAAAAAGCACATGCTAAGGAGATTGATGAACTGCTGAAAGCACAACACATGCATCATACAGACTTGTCAACTGAGAAGGAAAGCATACACAAACAATACAGAGAACAAATTTCTGAATTGGAAAATAAATATGAACAATTAAATCAAGCCAAATCACAAATGTGTGAGGATTATGAGGACAAACTGAAAAAAGCTCAAGCTTTTTACGAAAAGGAACTTGCTGTGTTGAAAGAACACGACCAGAAGAAAATAATCGAAGAATACCAGGAAAGGGAGAGGATCATGAAACGAGAATTTGGTCAAAAAGAACAACATTTGACAAGAAAAGTTGAAGAACTGGCCAATCAGCTAGAGTTAAGTGAAAGCGATTTAGAGAGACTTAAACACCAATTATCGGAAACAGAGGGTTATTTAGAATCCAAGGAAAGTGATTCATCTGCTTTGAGTCAACAAGTAAGTTAAATAATCCATTGACCTTGTTAGGGGTCAATGAAATTGCCAGCCATTCCATGAATGTTTTCTCTTTATTCCTCCTTGCAGGCTGTCAATTATTTTTATAGTGGTGTACACACACACAGTAGAGCTACCAATGAGAGGCCACATGTTTCATCCACTAAAAGCACTAGCTAGTCCAACTTTACTTTATCATTCACTTCTTATCACCAGACCAGACATTTTATGTTTACAAGTATTAAGACAATCTTAATTTCATCTTTCCCAACCAGTTTACAGAGGCCATGCTGATATAATTCAGTGCCCTCATTTCTTATCATGCACATGTTATGGTTTCACAATGTTAGGTTGAGTTTTAAAAAAAAAAAATTTTTCCTGTTGAAAAATTATAATTAATCATTTGTTAATTTAATTAATAATATGCAATATGCAAGTTTCAATTTATTGATAATCAGAACGCTACATACTGTATGGTGTTAAATATATATGCATGGCTGTCATTGGTTAAAACTCCATCAATGTTAGTGTAACACATATTTAACCCATTTAATCCTTCAGTCTGGAAAGCGTTCAAAGTTGACTGGTTTTCTACAGTTTAGAATCAGAGATTTGCTCTCTTAGTAGGTCATGCACTTACGTAAATTAAAGAAATATTTCTACGATCAAAATAAGTAATATTTTTATGATTCAGTACAGCCAATGTGATTTTTGGCTTATATGAGCTTCTATTGGTGTTGTGCTTCAAATAGAGCAAATACAGTACATTATTCTTGCTTAAATTGTACAATATTTCTTTTATTAGAAGCACATTCAATATGTATGTGCAAGCTGAGTTCTACCCTAGATATACTAGAATTTAGTGTTAGCTAAGTTTATGTTAGTGCTAGAACTTAAAGAATCAATATATATCCAGATTCACTATAAAAAACATAGTATCTCCATAATTACATATTTTCTTTTAATATAGGAGTATGTGCATTTAATAGATGTACTTAAATCTGGTTGGGAGTCAGTCAACAAAGTACTGGCTTTGTTTTAACATTTGAACTAAAAAAAAATTTTGACTTTTGTTAAATTCTTAGTAAAATTCTGTCTCTCTCTCTTTTTTGAATGAGCGGATAAATGTTCAGGGACATTGGTTGGCAGATAACAACCCCAATATATATGTAAGAATATCCTTATAATAGTTACACATGTTGGGGGTTGAACAGTCTTTGGAAAAACAGAAGATAAACAGTTTAGAGTCTCTGATGTTTTCCATCTGTTCAATTTCTACATGTCAAGTACATTGAGACACATTGACTGTGATTCAGAGTTTTGTAGATTTTTATTGCCTGACCTTCTTGTAGTACACCTAATCTCATCTCTAATGTGAGCCTAATCACACAACTTAACAGATTAAAATAAAATATAAATTCAGATTAATGGTGTAAACAAATTCATTCCATGATTCCATAGTGCTATCCGAGAGATTGACAGCTTTGAATCTCAGTAGGTATATTAATTAGGTCATTGTGCTAATTAGAATGGGTGATACATTCCATTGTTAATCAGCTGTGAACTTTATCTTCTCTGATTACTAATATGTGTTTACTGTTGTTTAATTAAGCATCATAATCATGGCAGGATTCCTCATTTAATTAAGAGTGATTTATTGTTATTGGGATTGAACTTGAATCAAGAATTCACTCTATTACCAAACTAGAACTGATAACATTTCTTTGGAGTAAATTAAATATAGGGCATATCAGGCAAGTTCCTTTGATGCCTTCACTAATTCTTTTGTTATTGTTGGCAACATTGTACACACAATAACTTTAGTGTCCTAATGGTGATAGAATGAATTGGATATTTAAAAATATATATAATGAATTAGGTCTAATATATTACTTCTGACATTTTCACAACTTTTAATGTGTTCTGAATAGATTGTATTATAAAGTTTATTAGTGTAGATGTCTTGATGAAAGAAACCCATATCTAGTTAAGGAATTTGATAGGTGAAGTTGACCTACAACAACTGTTTTATCTAAAGGGCAACATTACATAGCTCAGTGAATCTGTCACTCCAAGGTTCTTCAACTAGGCTGTTGTACTTTTGATTTCTAGTGAATTGAGTTACAATGTTAACTAAAACCCTAAAACTAAAATTTAATACAACATAATAGAATACTGTAAAATACTTTATTTTAGCTGGAATTAATTTTTAATGAATAGACTTTTTGGATGTTTTGTATGGAATTTATTTTCACTGATTTTTGACGAGTTGAATGGAAAAAATAGGAAAAAAGGTATATTCGCTGGATTTTATTTTCAGTGAAAATAGCGAAAATCAGTTCCAAGTGAAAATAAAAGTATTCTACAGTACTATAAACAACGTTAATACTGGTAATTGTCTTTTAAGGTCTATGTTGTGAGTAATTGTTATTTATTCTTCAGTTTAGATGTACAACTATAAAGGGTTCCATTATCATTCATGCCTGATTCTCCTATTTTTGATTTCAATACAATTGTGAAAAGTCTCTTAGGAAAAAAAAACATTTCAAATAATTTATATTAACATTATATATATATTTTTTTTAAATATTTACAGTTGGCTTATGCCAAACAAGAAAGCATGGTTGCTATGACACGATTGAAACAAGTCGAAAGTGAACTAATAGCGTCCAAAGAAATGTGTTCCCAACAAGCCAAGGATCTTCTTAAGAAATCAAGTTAGTATCAATAACATTTATATTGTTGTGTTCAAACAGCTTACTTTCAGAGTCAGAGAGATTGTTTGTGGCTTTTTGTTGGTTTGATGTGTATGATGTGTTTTCAGAATGACTTTGTCTATTGATTGAAAGTATGTTTGTGTATGTATAGAGTAGGTGGGAGGGACAAATTGAATACAAGTCAGAAACTACTGTAAAAGGGTTAATTATTCACTGGGTTTTAATTTTGCTTATTTCGCTGACTGGAAAATGCGCTAAATTAAAACCCAGTGAATATGTAAAATTTAGCACAGAGCACATTATCTAAATGATATAACTGTGAATTTAAAACCCACTGAATATGCCTGAAATGGTGAATCAGCGAAATTTAAACCCAGCGAAAATTTTACAGTATGCAGGATACTAGTTATTTTTTTGTGAGATGGGCGTATTCAATAGCCTCACGTATGTATGGATGATGTCACCTACAGTTTGTAATGTGGCCATGCATGCATGGAGTTGTTTGAGGGAAATTTCATTTGTTTGAATTAAGCAACAGATTTGTATCCTATTGGGGTCAAGGATAATGTAATGTTTTTTGAAGACTCTTTCAGGTTGACTGAACTGAATTATGACTTGATCAAAGCTGTTAACAAAATATTAAAGAAAGTTTACCTTCAATATCCCATGCTTGCTGTATTTTGAACCCATGCCCTGTTTAACATTTCTCTGATATTACATGCATGGGTTGACCATTAGAATACTATGAGATGGGAGTTAGTAGAAAAAAAAAGGATTATATTTCTGGATTTTTTATATGGTTTTTTCTCCTGTGATTTCTTTTGCACATTTTTTTTCAAATTTTTTTTCTGCAGATTTGTTTTTCGCAAATCTACACCAAGTTTTTCATGGCGATTGCCATTGATGTATAAATTGTGCCATTTGGTCAAATTAACAGAAATCACAACGAAATCTAGAATATAATGAGACAAATTCGGTAGCCATGTATAACTTAATATTCCTTAGTCAATATATGCCAAGTCGTTGTAAGATATACATGGTGTCATGTTATTTAATCAATGATGTACAATTGCATGTGGTTGATTGCACTTGCTAGGGGTGGTGAGGTCAACAGCTGAGATTGGTTTTCATGATCTAGACTATGCTAACTACAGTAATCTGGAAGTTTATTAAACCTGTTAAAACAACAAGGGAGTTCTGATATGCACATACCTGTCTCACCCATTTAATGTCCAATCTTTAGATAACTGTTCTAATTTAAATTTTGTGTCTTTTCTCACCGACTTCATCACGTCCTTTCTCAGTTTCATAATGTCTGCCTGCAGTAACGATAATAGACAAATCAAAGTTTGATTGTGTGTATGTATCTGATGTTACCATGTTAAATATTGTAAAAGTGTATGTACAGGTACACCATGTATCCTTCCTTTTATCTAATTAACTATAGTTACAAGGATCTAGATTATAACAGCCATATACAATCTTTATTTTTCTTAAATATATCAGTCACAAAGCTGATCTAACTAGATTTTTTGGATTCCATTTTGACTCAAGGACTCTACAAAATTGGTTCTGTTCATTATGGGATGTATATCAAGTGTAGCATGGAATTATTAACTTGAACTGCTTTTTAAAAAAAAAAATGACAGTTGATATCAGCTCTGGAAAGTCATACTGAGAAATGCATAGCATTGTAGCTACTGTAAATGCACAATTAGTCAGTGATATTTTCGCTATTTCTGCTGATAAGTAAAATTTGCTAAATTAAATCTATATGAAAATGTGAAATAACAATAAAACTCATTGTTTCTTTGACAAGTTCGTGAAATTAAAACACACTGAATATGCTCAAAACATCAAAATAGTGAAAATAAATGGTTTTACAGTAATTTGGTTCCAATAGTATAATTAAATCACTAGTTTAGCAGAAATACAATGAATATAATTGTAAGCTTATACAATAAATGACTTTCATTACTTGAGAAAGCATTTTTGTAAGTCTGGGAAAATTGTAAATTTGTTTATCACATAGGGGAAATATCGCTATGGTTTTTTTTAGCTCCGCTGTCGACTTTGTCGAGCGAAGCTTATCATATGAGTGATTGTCCGTCGTCGTCGTCGTCCGTCGTCGTCGTCCGTGTCAATGTTTTACTTTTCGACTT